AAAAAACTGCTATATTGAGTCATTGGATGAGAGAATGGCAACTGTTCCTAATTTTCAATGGAATGTTTGATTCCAATTTCATATCTGCTTACATCTAAAGTGGAAATCCTCAGTACAATAACAACACAAAGAAGTTTTTCAGGAAATCAAGCTGTTCCGTACCAATATGGCCATCCTGTGCAACTTCGACTGGGTACCGCTACCAATAATGTATCCACAACTCATCGTTCTTGCTGTTCACACATACTTCCTAATTTGTCTTCTTTCACGTCAATTCATTATCAGTGATGATGCGGCCAATAAATCACTTGTATGCATACACTAACATCATTCAGTTTCTTTTTTTGGTGCTTATTCAAAGTCGTAGTGAGATCTCACTGAGTTTTTTGGGGAACGATTGAAATTCGATTGATGATTTTGAAAAGTTGGGGGGAAGTTGGAAGTAATTTAGTTGTTAACAAAGTTGCGTTTAGTTAGAGACAGTTGTCTGCCTACTCAACAATGTTGTATCGAAATTTCAGATGGATTTGTTCCTTCCAGTGATGACCGTACTGCAGTTTACATTTTATATGGGTTGGCTGAAAGTCGCTGAAGCGATGTTGAATCCTTTCGGAGAGGACGATGACGACTTCGAATGCAATTTTTTGCTTGACAAAAACTTAACGGTAGGCTTCCTTTTTCTGCAAAGTATTCATCTAACTATGAGTCCTTTATCCATGCGAGATGTCTTTGGACTATTCAAACAGTCAATATTTATGCTTATGCAATCTTCTTTCCAGATCGGACTTACGATAGTGGATGCAGGATACGGTAAAACACCGGCTGTTATGAAGGATATCTTCTGGAACGATAAGATTGAACCTCTTTACACACTGGAATCGGTGCGAGATGAGCACACAATGAGCGGCATTACTGGTTCAGCAGCAAATATTAAGTGAGTCTGGCTCTTATTAGTCAAATGAACTCCGGTGATTTTGAAATTTGCACATAGAGGAGAGATGACTTCTGATCTTAAAACATTACTAATTGTAAGACCTCCTGTGATATTTTGTGTTCTAAGCTCATCGAACTACAAAGTGAGCATGGCAATTGACAAGTATTTCTTCATGATTCCACTGATTTTGTTTGCTTTGTTTGAATCCAATTATACTGATGGAAACAATTGGTAATAGTTGAATCCAATTTGTCTGCATCCAATGATTCCATAAGGCGCCCACGATGGTTTGAAAGGACCAAGAGGAGCCTGATAGATGAGTGGTAAGCGTTAGAAGAAAAGCTGTCATCATGACTATTGGAATCAGAAACAAGAACGTCTGATTTAAATTTTACAATTGGAATCAGAAGGGATTTATTCGAAGTCATTTATTATATCAGTTTCTGCATCCACCGTTGAAACGATTATTAATACCAAAATTTTTACTGTTGATTCACCGAGGTTAACAAATTTAGGCTTCATGAAAATGATCGTCAAATGAAGATGATGCCACTGCCTCATGAAGAGAAGGAAGGCCACAATTCAGCGCATCCATTCGGATTATTCCGACGATCATTCCAAAAACGATTTGGCATGAGGTGAGCGATGCTACTGAGATGAAGATAGAGCACTATTCATTCGCAGATGATCACCTCGTAGAGCTATGACTGTTTCAGGTCAATGAGCCATACTGCTGAGCATTATGCGGCATCAATGGATACTGCTGCTGACGACCATCGCAAGCATTCAAGTGATTTGAATCTTCACGCGATGGAGCGCGGTTCACGTGATCGTAGATGCAGTTTGTCGAGTGCCATGGAAGCGATCGTCAACGAGTCTGGAGCATGCACAAATGTTGCTGTCGTCGTTGGAGGTTCGTCTGTGTACAATTGCTTTTGGACAAGGTCACAAAGCATTAGTGTTCGATATTTAGTCTCATCGACCGAGGATGATGTGCACTCGCGAGATGGAGGTTTAATTCTAAATCAAGCCATAACTGACGTTGATATATTACTGAAATCGTTTAATCAACTCAATCAAACTTGAAATGAATTCGGCTTGTCTCATAAGCTCAATGGCACTAAAATTCATTTCGAAATCAGTTTTGATGATCTTTGCTTGCTCCTATGAAACGGAGTGCTTTATTTCAATGCACTAAGAATACCATCCTGTTCACTTAATCATTTAGCTATTCATCTACTGTTCATTAATTGTTTGACATTCGTTTATTGATGTTCATTTGATAATCACTTTTTGCCTCATAGATATTCAATTAGTGCTTGATAACCAAAACATTTCTCGAATAATCTTCAGATGAGTCGCCAGAAATAACAAAGGAAGGACCATTCGTATTCCCGAGTCATAATGAGTTCCATGCAACCTCGAATGATGTCGCTCATCGACTAGAAGATGTGATCGAGGAAAGCGAAGAGAATGCGTCCAAGATGAATACTGTCGAGAAACCTGAGGATCGCACAAGACCGAGCGTTATGGTGATTAGCAATCGAATGAGACAAATGCAGGCTCGGGACAGAGAAGGAGATAAAAGTAGGACTGAAAGCAACGGTGAATCTAACTTGACCACTGGACAGTTATAACCGAGTAATGATTCAGCAATAGACTCGAACTATGTAAGTGTGTGTGCATTATTTTCAATGAATATTTGTTGACTTTGTTTGCGTGCGATTTGGAGAACTTTCTGCTACAAATGGATGGATTCAGTGCCTTGAAAAGTTCCGAATTGTTGAAGTTTAAGTTCCAATTTAAAGTTCCAATTCGAAGTTCAAAGTTTTAAAGGTTTTTTCCAATTCAATTTAAAGTTCCAATATCAATCTGAGTTCCAATTACAATTCAAGTTTCAATAACTAAAAGTGAGTTTCATCATGGAAACCATTTATCTTTTATTAACTGATACTGAATAACTGTTATCGATTTTAAGGAATTTGAACCACTGCAAGTTCTTTACAGGCCAAAGGAAGAATCAAAATTTTCGCCATTGGAAACAGTTGCCCAGGACTTGATGAGTTGGTATTGTGACAGTTCAGCGTTGAGCAAACGTATGCAAGCCACTGTTAGAAACGTATCCACTCAACAGACCATCAGTTGAACAAGTGTGAATTTTATTGGCATCTCTTAATTGAACTTTCGTTGCCGTCTTCTTGAAATTATCACCTGAAATCTGAAGCACCATATGCCAAGCATTGGAGTTTTATAAGCGAATAAACGTAATCCTTTCTTAGAAATCAATCGAAAGCGAGTTAGTTCAATTGAATAGCTGTTGTTTCTTAGGTACGAAATTTCGCTTAAATTCTAGATGCGCGAAATTATTCCGTTGAAAGCTGGAAACTACCGAGTTTTTCTGATACTCAGTCTCGTTACCTCAATTCGGAAACCCAGTTCTCAAACATGCCGTTCTAGACATCTTGATTCCTTCTTTTTCATCAGAACAAACTCGCTAATTCACTTGTTTTGTTCGACTCTGATGGTCGTCTAATTTTAAAGAACATACGTCATCAATTCCAGCAGATGAGACGCTCTTCAATTGTTATACGATAGCTTTGTTATGACTGACGCCAGATTTGCTATTCTTAGCTTTGTCATTAATTTCGTTATTATTTTTTGAATTATGTTTGCTATTACTGAACAGTTGTGCATGCTTGTTATTGTAGAATCATCAGTTTTGTGGCTGTCATTACTATATCTTCGATATGAATCTATATTTGTTCAGTGATCAATGTTTGTGTGTGGCTATGACGGTTGTTTTCGTTTATTATTATATCATCATCCGGTTATTTTGCGCATCATTACTATCATCAGCATTCTCAAATGTGCACTCTAAGTATGATTTATGAGCATTCAAATGACCCCCTTCGGACTGTCGTGTACATTAACCCCAATGGACTGCACTCTCTACTTAATCATGGCTTGTGTCAAGCGTACAGTATTATAGGGATAAGTACGGTACGGTTTATGGACTGTTTGTTTGCTATTGGTTTATTACTCTCAAGCGTGCAATGCGATTCGTAAGCCACTGAACAAAGTGAGCAGATTTCTTGCTGACGAGTGGAAGTGTTATCCTTTTCAGTTTCGCTCACCGGTTCGTTTTGTTCGTTTCTGAACAAGCATAGAATTGATTTGGAGTGAGTTTATGGACAAGATCAGCTGGCGAATTGCGTTGTTTTTGCGCTGAATGCTGAGATTTCTAGACGATGTATCTTGAAGTGCAATTGTTTGAAATTTGAATACCTCTACCTCTGTTCGTATACGGTGTTTTGTGTTGTTTGTCGCGTCTTTATTGACTTTACATTCTTCATTCTAGTGATTTCTTTTCGCGTGCCGATTTGCTTTGATTGAAAAGAAAGCAACTTCATGTAAATATTAAAACGTTTCTTTTGATGCAGTTCGCTCTTCGATATCGCCACACAGTATATGTGCATTATTCTCTTGGATGTGTGCTCGTAAAAATTCACAATGAGCACTAAAACTAAGAAAAACACTGCCTTTTAGGCTTCTCCATGAACAAATCAATGTAATCTCAATAACATCTTCAAAAATGCAGATGACTAGTCTTTTGTGAGGTCCATAAACAAAATTATGAATATGGAATGTTGTGACTGTAACAAAGAATGGATAACAGAAGAAATGGTTAAAAGTTCTCGTTGCACATATTATCAAATCTTTCAGCTGCCTTAGTTGGGAGTGGAAACGAGCGGCTATTTTTTTGTTAGTAGGGAAACTCCAATGAAATCACTAACAGACTGTGAACAATTCCATAATAATACTGTGTTTAAAAGATGAAAAATATTGATGGTGAAAAAAATCAACTTTATTCCACAGTTGAATTTAAACGTATCGATTGAAAATAGTCTTTTTTTATGATAGAGATGAATGAATTC